CTCCCCCTCTCCCCCTCCCCTACCCCTTCCTCTCCCCCTCTCCCTCTCTTTCTGCAAATAATATTTTAGCTTTATAATTAAATATAAATGTAGAAATGTACATTGATAAATGTAGAATATTTTGACACTTTCAAAGCAAAATTTTTTAAATGTTAAGTAGAATAAGAATAGAATTAAGTAGAGTATAATATATACGTATGTATATTGTATCAAAAAGTAATTTGTTTATTGTCAAACTAATTCAATATGATTCATAAATTAAAAAGAAAGAATATTTGAAACTATTTATTTTTATGATTTTCATGCTAGCATTAGTATGCGTCGAAGGAATGAACCTACAGCGTGAGTTTTCATTTTGTAATAATATCAAAACGTAAAAAAATATTGTTTTTCTTTTAAAAAAAATTTCTGATATTTCTTATAAGTATAAATAATTAGGTGAGTAGGAGTATGTAATTAATAAATTCTTAAATATAATTATATGCTGCTCATAAAAGTGTACGGAGAAAAACATCTCCTGCGAATGTTACTCGCCAGCAAACTGACAAATTTTCTGGGTAAGATTATTGTAAGCTAAACATTGGCAAACGGATTTACATCAGCAATGTGAATTTTTTTATCATAACTGCTTATATAGACATTTTGAAAATCACAATTATCTCATAATCACTCTGTCAAAATGCCAACTGCAATCTCTCATCATTTAACTTTTAAAGCATTCTGCAGCCTTAAAGCACAAACAAGTTGCCAATATGCCTGTTATGGAGCTTTTACAATATGCATACTTATTTTCAGTTAATAAACAGTTAGCAATTATTTCTGTTGCGCTTATTATTGTGACACAAAAATTGTATTGCTAAATAGTACACAAGCTATTTAATTTTACATACTACATATGTGGACTATATATGTGGACTACATATGGGGACTACATATGTTTATAAAAATTCACACATACTTATTATTAGCACTTTGATCCAGCTTTGACCGTTATAGGCGGTAATTCTTTCCTTGTTTGTTTGACAATTTACGGTCGGTACAAAATTAGTTAATATTATTATTTAATTTTATTTATTAATTTAATTTAAATTTGCATTTTTATAAAATATTTATTTTTTTTTTCGTATTTTCATAATGTGTCAAAACTTTTTACAAACTTTTTAAATATAATTGTACGAATATTTTGTTACGATATTTTTACTGCGATTTTTATTATTTTTTATGTAGGCCTTTATCCAAGGCACAAAATCTATATGGATAATAGTTATAGAAATGTTTATACGACTTTTTTTTAAAACTTTGTGACTTTTCTTACAACTGTATTGCAACTAAATAGTGCAGGCAGTAACATCGTTGAGATGTTTATGTCAATAAAGTGGGGAATCTATACGACTAATTTCTAACGTTATATGAACCACATTAAAACTTGTTTAATATACTACTGTTTTACAACAAACCGTTAATAGACATAAAATAACGTCTCAATAATTGTCTTAAATTACCACGTACAGATGTTAATACAACTTTCTTCAATAATTATAAAAATTATTAAAATGATTAAAATTAAATATTTTTTTATTGTTATATTTTTTTACATCATGATATTCATTATGTTTAATAATGAAATTTAAATGAAAATTATTAGACACGACATAACTGTTTTGCAGATAGATTTAAACATTTTTTTACATCTAAAAACACACACATACTCTGTTTCATTTTAAGTGTATGGTCGATTATCTCGCGAATCGATGATTTTATATTATATATGTACACGTTATAAATATACGGAGTTATATAAGCGTTTTAAAAACAATGACATTTATATCGTAAAACGATTATAATTTATAAACAATTGTAAAAACGGTTCAAGTAATAAGTGTTATAAGATTGTTAACATATAATAAGTCATCTAAAAATTACAACATCTTAAAATGAATACTACATAGATTACTTTGTGTAGAGTCGTATGGACATTATATAAATTTCTAATGAATATATTGACTAAATGTTATGTGTTTATATAGACGTTTTAAAAACTACAAATAGTTGTATAACTAACATTAACTTTTTAGTCGCATAATTTTTCCGATATATAAATGGTACAAACGTTTTATGGAGTTATATAAACTTTCTCATAACTTTGTGCTCCTTGGGTATATATATATTTTTTCATTTTTTAATTTTAATATAAATAATATAAGTTTAAGTTTTCGATTTAGTTAGCAAGTTAGTTAGTTAAAAGTTTAAGTTTAAGATTTAAAATCACAATTGATTTGTGGCCAACTTAGCACAGCAAATGTATATAAATATATATATATATATATATTGTAATTTATTAAATATCGTTAATTATTTCATGTTACTTTTTACAGTTCTCGATTATCCTTATCTGGAAGTAGAACATTATTAAGTGCTCCAAGTACAGAAAGCCTAACTGGATTATCACACGAACGTAGAGACGGCGGTGAGTCATTGATCCCAGCGCCAACTTCGACTTCGAAGCGTGCCTCATTTGTTGAGGTAAGATGCACATACTATAAGTTATGATAAAAACTATAAAAACTGTTAGTAATGTTTAATATATACATTATGTTTATACCAATATATAGCATAAACATTATATGTATACTTTACGATTCTTACTATTTGTATCAAATAGTAAGAGCAAAAAAATTATCTATAAAATACATTATTCAGAAGATTTAAGGCATGGCATACATATGATGAGTGATATAATTCCTATGTGAACAAATTACTACTTGTATTTTTATGATATATTTCCATCGTTTTTTTTTTTTTTACTAACAAATAGGTGATCTGATATTTTCAAATCTATAGGTTTTTTTTTAGTATTTGTATGTTTCTTATATTCATGTGCAAAGAATCCTATTCTGTGACTCGACCAATTAAATATAATTGTGCACGTCTGACCGGAAAATGTGTTTGGACAAAAGTAGAGATTAACGATGAAAATTAAAAGAAAAGGAAGTGTAAAATTGTAAAAGCAAGTCAGAGAATTCCATTGGCATAGAATGATTCATATGGGAATGCACGTACGTGTTTCAGAAGTCCCCTAGCACGAGCTCGCCTCCCGGCAAAAAGCCAAAGGCCCAAGATGATCAAAATAATGTAATTAATACTCATTAATTGTAATATCTCAACTTTTTAATATATCACCTCTCTAAAATATCTTGTTCTTTCTCATACTAGCTGTTTGTCTATCATAAAGCATTGTAACACATATTTTTCGTAACAAAAACAGCATCATTGCACTTTTAACGGATACGTCCATTTATTTTTAGTGGATTATCGATTTATTAATAATAAGTTTTTAGGGTTTCGTATTCTATAATCCTTAATGATGTTATTATTGAACTATTGTCGTTAGTTAAGAACCTTCTTATTCTATAACAACAAAATAGCGACGAAATTGTTGTAAATTTAACGATAGCTGGAGAGAGATGTTGAGTTTATGACAATTTTATTATTTTATTATTAATGAATATTATTATTTTATTATTAATAAATAACAGTTATCATTTATAGAAAAGGAAAAATTGTTCACTAATGGCAATTGTAAAATAATAATATTGTTAAAAATTACAGAATAGGACTCTTAATTTTGTTTAATTTTATACATAAGCTTCATTAACTGAGTTCTATGATGCTTGGATAGTTTACGATACACACAATGAGAAGGGATGTTCTGCATTGCTTCATCCATCCACTGTTAGGAATTGAATCCCCTGGTGTTTGTGTTACAAGCTTGCAATAATACTAACATTTAGCACGGATGGGTTTTACATCTTCGAGGTGTAGTTTTGCCTGATCAGTAATTTTCTCTAAAAATTACATACTAAAGAGTTAATTTTACTAAAAAGTTAATTCTACTAAAGAGTTAATTTGTCAAAAGTTAACGGGGATATGCAAATAAACACATGTGTCAGTTGTTAGGACCTAATAGATAAGATAGTATCAATGCTCTGACTTTAGTTATATCCTGTGTAAATGTATCACATAACACGATTCAACTCATCAACTGGATCTTCCTCTATATTTTCGTTAGTACTAATAGAAGTTTCGGTGTAGCTTGTTGGTGTTTTGCTATTGCAACTAATATCTCATTTATCACCATGAAACAAACTAATTTTACAATATCCGAATGTAAATACAGAAACAACGACATTATCGTGACATCATATATGGATTCTCATATATAGCAAATGTGGGGTGTTTTTTTCATTGCCGCATTTTGAGAATAATTATGTTATCTTTGTTTGCGCCATTCATATACCTTTTAGTTATACCTTGTGTGTATATTCGTTTCAAACACAGGTACACAGGTCCAGAGGACTTTGAAGAAACTCTTTGGTGATATACAATTCTTTCATGCGATAATAAAAAGAACACCCAACGGTACAAAACGCAAATATATCTTACTCTTTTCTTTCTTTTATAATCCAGACAGGTTTTGTAGAAACGTTGAAACCGCAATTCGTACCCGGTCAAGTCATGGCGGGTTCAGCAGCGGCTGCAAACTTAGTGGAAGAAAAATTGTCACACTTGCAACTTGTGCAAGAAAATGATAATTTAAAATCTCAGGTAAATGTCACTTACAATAATTTCGATCTTTTTTGACTGTTCCTTCATATAAAATGATTACCTTGTGTGAAATTATATGATGTATATACATATATAATATTGTAGGTACGTGATCTTACTGAGAAAGTAGAAACGCTGCGTGTAAAGCGAATGCAAGACAAGGAAAGGATAAAAGATTTCGAAAAAACGAAACTTCAAATTGAACAGCTTCTTGAATTTAAGGCCAAAGTCATGGAAAGTCAAGTGAGTATATATGATACGAGATATAGTAAAGATCTTTATTTAACGCGAGTTAAGTTCTTAATTTTTAAAAATAAATCTTTTAATTTCTATATATTTATGTATCAAAGGCAAGTCTCCAAAGAGAACTTCAACGAGCTCGTCAAGAAGCCAGAGAAGCTCATGTGGCAAGGGAACAATATCAAGAAGAAATGTCTGATCTTGCAGAAACAGTAGAAATGGCTACATTAGATAAAGAAATGGCAGAAGAAAAGGCTGAAACTCTCCAAATCGAGTTAGAGCAACTTAAGGAAAAATTGGAGGAACAAACATTAGATCTAGAAATATTACGCACAGAAATGTCTGAGCGGGTATAATATTTCATCTATTTTTTTATAAAGTTTTTTATTTTTCTCATTTGATATATGTTTAATGATATTATTATTTTTACAATTAGGCAGCCGGCGGTGGATCAACTACGGGAACTTCAAGCTATGAAGTGAAGCAATTGGAACAACAAAACAATAGGTTGCGTGAAACGCTCGTAAAAATGCGCGATTTATCGGCGCACGAGAAACACGAATTCCAAAAATTGCAAAAGGATATGGATCAGAAAAAATCTGAGATCTTGGAATTAGGTCGTACGAAAGAAAAGTTGTCGGCGCGGGTCGAAGAAATGGAACATCAGATAGCAGATCTACAGGAACAAGTATATATTATTTGTATAATATAATATGTAATAATATTAATTTACATATGTGTTTAAAACAAATAATAATGAGCCAATAAATTACGTTAAAAATCCCATTAAATTAATTTTCAATATATTGCGAAGAATATTATGTAATTATGGCGTTTCGTCCCAGCTTCCACTACTGAACTCATCAGTAAGGCATTGTAGTGGAAGCCTACCTTATACGCCTGCAAGAGTTATTCAATTGAGATTCTATATAAAGAGATATACGCGTATTAATTTAATGGGATTTTTAACGTAATTTATTGGCTCATTGCCCTAGCTCTTTCTATATATTATTTGTTTTAAACATATTGAGCCTGTTTACAATGTACATTTTAATTCACGCGGGCGAAATCATGCGTTTAAAATCACAATTTGATTAAGGGGACGTTATTTCAGATTATTAGAGTTGCGTTTCAAGACCGACGATTGTTCGGCGCGCAAGTTGGGGAGGGTGGGGGTAATACATATATTACTAATGTTAAATATTGCGAAGAGAATATTACTATGTCGATCCGCCATCAGAGGTCTATCGATATTCGCAAATTCTCGCAAGTGCTTTAATACGCGTATATCTCTTTATATAGAATCTCAATTGAATAACTCTTGCAGGCGTATAAGGTAGGCTTCCACTACAATGCCTTACTGATGAGTCCAGTAGTGGAAGCTGGGACGAAACGCCATAATTACGTAATATTCTTCGCAATATATTAAAAATTAATTTAATGGGATTTTTAACGTAATATATTGGTTCATTGCCCTCTTTCTCTGTATTATTTGTTTTAAACATATTGAGCCTTATTACAATGTACATTTTTACATATGTGTGTATATATTTAAATGTTTCTCTTAGGTCGATGCGGCATTAGGAGCTGAAGAAATGGTCGAAGTGTTAGGCGAGAGGAAAATGGCGTTGGAAGAAAAAGTGGCTGAACTGGAAGAGGCTGTTGCAGATTTGGAGGCTCTGCAAGTACGCAGTCCTAATACTTTATATTGCAAGAAATGTATATAATTTATAATATATAACGAATAACATATTATAAATCTCTTCAGGATATGTCGGATCAATTGGCCGAATCGTCCAAAGAACTAGAGCTGGAGCTTCGCGAGGAATTGGATCTTGCACTTGGAGCAGCACGCGACGCCCAACGACATCGGGATGCCGCGCTGGAGACATTGGCGGATCGTGAATTGACTATTACGAAATTCCGTGAACTTACGCATCAGTTGCAAGAACAATGTTTACAATTACAGCAACGAGTTCACTCGACGGAATCCACCAAGACTAGCGTTCGAGGTAAAATAGGATATATAGGATAGAAATAAAATTTTATTGACTAAGTTATTTTTTTTATAGTCTTTATCATTTACGGTTTAGGTGCGGACCAACAACTTGCGGAGATATTAGACTTCCAGAAGACGTTTGCTGAGACCCGAGCGCAAACCAAAGCAGTCGATCTTGAGTTGCGTCGCTTAGACGCCGAGGAGGCGCGAAATCATGTGTGCTATTTATTGTCCTTCATGCCTCCTGCATTTTTGACTCACGGTGGAGATCATGACGCGATATTGACGCTTTTATTAATACCAAGGATGATACAAAAAACGGAGATATTGATTTCGCAAGTTCGAGAAAAGTATAGATCAATTGAAAAGATAGACAGGTAATACTAATCCTATTTTTGCGAAAGCTTCATTTAGATTATTTGTACAATATTCAATTTTTTTTTTTTTATTACAGGACGTCTGTAGTGAGAGGACATTCGGTAGCGCAATATTCGTTCAGATCTCGTTTGTGCTCGCACATGTATGCTTTACAAACCACCTTGGGTTGTTTCGAGTCAGCTTTAAACTCGTGCAGTTCGGAAATGTTACTTAAAGCGGGAGCGGCTTATCCGGAAATGGTGGCGCAGGAGAAGTCCTTGGACTCACTGATAGAGCTGGCTAAAAGAGATCAGTTGGACGAGAATTTGCCGATGGACGCGATCGAGAAATGTTGCGGATACTTCGTCACGATGTTCTCCGTACTCTTCGGTAAAAGTATAGCTGTTGATCAGGCACGCCTAATCGTGAATGGTACAAGAACTTTGGGCAATACGTGCGATGCCATAGCTACTGATGCCGCGGCAATCAAAGTATTGATACAAGAAGAGGGTGCTGATATAGGTACGTAGTACTTGATTAATTATATAAATGTTACTGTAGCGCATTCTTCATATTTAAGGTAAACTTTGTCAGCATGTTGAAACGACATGCGAGGTGATCCACCAGCACTTGAAATCAGCTAGAAGACGAGTACCACGTGATCACGCTGGTCCAGCATATTCCGTAGGCGCCAATTTAGGATTGGATAAAGATTGCAATGAACAATTTTCTACATGTTATCAACATGGTGTAAAGATTACAAAGACACTTCAGTACCTATTAAAGAGTGCCTTGCATGCTGTTACCGAAAATGGCGGTAAGTTTCTTTTTTTTTTTTTTTTATAGAGACTCGGAAATCTATTTTTGTAATATATTTAGAAGTGAATTAATTTTTTTTATAAATGTATTCTTTAGATTTAGATATGGGATTATCGGCTGATAAATTGAAGGAGATGGCTGCAACATCTAGCGAAAGAGTATACGATACAGAAGATTTGGGTCCTGTAGCTACTATCAAAGCTAGTTTAACAATAATACAGCAACTGGCGGCAAATTTGGCACAGAAAATGGCGGAGTGTGAAAATGAATTAGCCATAAGCGGACAAACACAAAGTCAGCAGCAATCTACTGAGAGCGAGCAAATAACGCCAATTGTGGCCAGAGCGAATTCTGTTAGGAAAGAATCGGAAGAAACGAAAATACTTAGCAGGTGTGTATATTTCCCCATTAGCTTTATATAATTATCACATTTGAAGATTTTTTAAAGATAATTTTTTGACATTTTTAAATTAGGAAACTCGAAACAAGAGACAATGATATACGTGAGGCGAGATTAGCTTTACGAGAGAAGCAAGAAGAATTATCTGAAATGACACTGCGGAAGGAGTTGGCTGAGAAGCGTTTTGCGACGCAACAGCATGAACATGAAATGAATGTCGAAAAATTGAAGAGAAAATTAGAAGAGGCACAAAATCAATTAAAACGCAAGGTATCTCTTTTCTTACTATCATATATTGCAACCTTATATTTGTTTATTGATTTCTTTTTTTTTTATAGGAAAAAGAATTCGAAGAAACAATGGATCACCTTCAAACCGATATTGACAGCTTAGAAACAGAGAAGGGACAATTGAAGGAAAAGTTAAAGTCGATTGGTAAGAAAACGATATCAATGTCTGGTACAGACAGTATGATAGGAAGCACTTCGATAACGAGTACTTTGGACAATAAATATTATGTACAAGAGATAAACGCCCTCAAGCAAGCCTTGAATAATGAGCATCAGCAAAAAAAGAAGATAATGTGCGCTGTCTTGCGTCAAAAGTTAGATAGTTTGGAACCGTTGCTATCGCCGAAACTGAAGTCTCTGGACATAAAAATTCAAGAATTGCGAAAAAAGACTACTGATCTCGTCAAGGTAATTAATTATAATTTGATAATTATTGTCGATTATTATACCCAAATAGTCTTCTGTATATACATATGAATAAATTTATTCGCATTTCAGGATGTGGAAAAGACTTTAGTATATCCAACAGTTCCCGATTTAAGGCGTAAAGTGCCTGAAACGTCTTATTATTATTTATTGGAACGTCAAAGGAACATTATGCAGTTGAAAGAACGAGTTGACGAATTAGTGGTAAGTGCAGATAAAAGATAAACAGTACAAAAATTAATGCAATGTAAATTACTAGACATCTAATATATATTATTTAGGCTCAAGTACGTCGCGAGGCTATCAAACGCACACCGGGTGGAAGAGCGGAAGCGAATTTTACAGTGTATCCGAATCGCGAGATGGCAGCAACAATGCAGGAACGCAAATTACTTGCCGCCGAAATAAACATCCCCTACAATGGCCCGGAACAATCCTTTTCTGTCAATGTAGGGCCGCAAGAACTTAGGAAAATTCACACTTTATTATATTATTAGTGTTATATTATTATACTATATAAGAACCCGCGTTGCTTTATTATTTATTTCGTGATAAAATATATGCTCACAGAATTCTTACGAGATGTTTCATGCATAAAAAAAGAAATATTACCTTTTTCTAATTTTTTCATGATCATTTTTTATACTACGTTGCCATACCATGCGCTGTATAAAAATGAAACGAGTTAACTATATCAGAAGGTTTGCGGGTTATCGCTGTGTCTTTCTTCATTATTGATGCCAACGTTTCGTGTGGTTTCGTGAACCATATTCAGTATCAGCGCACTCCTCGCCCTGATGAAGTGAACGGCATAGTTCACGAAACGTTGGCATCAATAATGAAGAAAGACACGGCGATAACCCGCAAACCTTCTGGTATAATTGAAGAAAATATCCGTGAAAGCCTCAAATGCGTAATCAAGAAACGAGTTAATTATACATGTTATGAATAACGCGGCATTAACTAGGCTTTTATACAAAATTTTATGTCATATCGCTGTAAAAAAGGTACAATGCAGATCTAGTAATTCATAATTTGCACTTGTGCAACGTTTATTTATTTCCGATGGACTACAGTGCGATGACCGGCGCATTGCAGCTGGGAGGCTCTTTTCAGTGTTCATTACGTTTATAAACGCAATGTTATTTAGTTATTAACAATACGGAAGGAAAAGCGTGTGTGTGATATATATATATATATATATACATATATATATATATACACACACACACACACACACACCTTTAAGAATTATCAAATATATGGTTTAAAAATATTTACATAAGTGTTTTGTACATATGTACACCCTCTAAACACAGTGATGGTATCACAATAGAAATTGGTGTGGTCTTGTAGAGCAGGTTGACGCCGCCTACTTTGACCAAACATCATTTAAATTAATGAAATATTATACACTTTCACTGTTGCTATATGCTAACAACCGAATCTTGTAAATCATCAGTATGATTAACATTTAATAAAACAGAAATTTATAATACAATATTTCAGTTTTTATTTGTAGAGATAAAAGGAGCAGTAAACTGTTGATGTATTTCCTCAAATATTTATGAAATAAGGTATGCCTTAATTACTGTCACAATTTTATTATACATACAGACATGTATATGTGCATATGTATATACATATTGCGATATATCCCATGCACGTGTATACATATACCCACATACACATAGCAGATAGTACTTAAGTGCATATATCATTAGTTATTTCATTAACTTACTCGCTCATTCATTCTCACATGCTGGTACGCACTTTTACACTTTCATTTATCCCCTTCATAATAATAATAATAATTAATCACGCATTCAATCGAGGATGATTATTGATTATCCATATTTTCAAGTGTTCGCCAGGCAGCAATAATTCGCGTCTTCGGATATAATAAACTTCAAAATTTGAATTTATCATTGCAATCTGCGTATTTAAAGCTGACCGGACGATTGGTAGTACCTTCCGCGACGAGGACGTGTGACGCACACTAATAATATTTGTTAAGGGTATATGATTATAACATTTTTTGGAAATTAATGTTTGCAGAACATAGACGTGAAGAGTTTAGCAACTATAGAATGAATAATACAACTAAAATCTTAAACAATATGAATAGAAACAATAGTTCTTTAGCAATTGCTGATATCAATAAGTATTTCTGACTGTTTCGAGGTGACTTCTCTCTCGGCATGTATGTGTATATATGTATGAAGAACGTTCCTCATGAAATATGAAGTCCTTTAAAGTGTATACAAAAATATCAAACTAAATCTTGAAGTAACAGCACGTGAAATAGCTACTGCACAGTCTCGGCTATTAAAACTATATACGGAAGAATTATCCAGCTAGAACCTTAGTTATAGGAATACTTTTCCAACAAGATAATTTTTTAAAATATGTTGATGAAAGTAAGTTTGTACTACTCCCCATTATTCAAAATTGTCTTCTTTTCTTCCTCTTCTTCAGCGATTTTTTTTACTTCTGCGACTCGTAATAAACATATTCATAGATAGAAAGAGAGTAAATCGAGGGATATTTCTATAATAGAATCGTTAGTCGTTTGTTCGTTTCTCGATGGAGTACTCGTTACTCAATACAGCACAGTACATACTTAACAGTTAGAGTGTTGCCTTAACATTAAGGTATCTTTAATATTACTTTAACTTGTCAATATTATATCGGAGAGAGACGTAATCGTTCATTTATATAAAAAAAAATTATTCTGGTCAAATGTACCAAAAGTATGTGCAACGGTAGAATACTTTTGATACTATTGACATACCATCCTTGATAAGAAAAATATTAACACTTTCTCAACATTCTACATACTCTAATATGATCACATTATATATTGAAGACAAAACAAAATTTAGGAAGCAGAATATCAGTTTGCCACAGTAGTACTCATACTCTCACAAAACACTCACATATTTTTTGAATCTCTCCTTTCTTGTTTGTAGAACAGATATAAAATTTTAAACCATACGCTTCGCAGATTAACGCGAGCATCCGAGAATGGTCTAAATATCCTCTCTTTCTCTCCATAAAAGTTGCACATTTTTGCGAATTAAATAACCCAGTCTATCTTTACTTCCTTACAATCTTCCTCAGGGCAACAAAACCTTTATTTTCAATGATTACCAACGGTAAATTAAATACGTAATAACAAAATAAGAACAAGCAACTTTCTGGCTGGCTAGTCTCTCACTCGGATTTCAAAATCCAAAAAGTTCAATCAGCCAAAACTCTTAAGTTGTCAATGTTGCAACATCTCATATGATTCAGTAAATGTGTAATACAACTACACTCCTCTTGTCGCACATACACGAATGTTGGCATTTGTAGACATACATTTGTTTTGTAGTTTACATCATAATCTTTCTTTGCGTGAAATTAGAGTGTTGACTGATAATTTTTTGAATAATAAATTCTGTAAGAAATTCGGTACCTCGTTTGAAACACTTTAGTTATCGCAATTAAGATTGTTGCTACAATGATGAGTTATAGTCTTAGCGTGCTCCTGGAACAAATAAAAGCGATTTTAAAATTATAGAAAATAAATATGAAACTTTTCTTTAATTTTGTTATAGATAATATGTTTATAAATAATACAAATGTTATTTTCCCTTTATATTGATATTCCGTTTGTCTGTATTATATGATAATGAAATCTACAAATTATTTTTTTTTATGCAATTTTCCATTATATGCAAGAAACATTACCATGATACTGATTTAAAATTCAGCAAAAGACATTGAAGTAAGTTCACCAATGATAGATGGAAACATATTAAACACACAAGTCCCTTTAAGTGTAGTGTATACAAAATATAAAAAGAAATACATTTTATATTATATTAAATTTAGATATACTGTGTGTGTGTGTGTGTGTGTGTGTGTGTTTCAAATCATTAAACAATATTTTCAAAAAAATTAACTCAGGATCTGGTAAATTATTATAAAGATGCAAATACCACGAAAATAAGAATGTTAAAAGACATAAAAGAAGTAATGTGAATTTCCATAAAAATATGAGAATACATGAAAATTTTCGTAAATATCCTTGAAAAATTTTGGTCTAGATCATATATTCATTATAATAGAATTAGTCGTTAAGTGAATATTAATTAGTACATAAGCATACTTATATTTTCATTAGTGTTTCAGTCATTATTAATAAATAGTAAAGAAAATCTTTTCTCCAAAACTTTGCCGGGCTGATTTTCTCATAGAAAAAGAAAGAAAGAGTATTTAAGAAGTATTATTTAGAATAATATTTAGAGTGTATAACCCCATCATGATTATGAAATGACGACATAAGCTGTATATTAATTATTACAGGAATCTATAAATTATATGTGGACATGTGAAAAATTAATTCCAAAAATTTTTATTGCACCTGATTGAGCGGTGGCCTGAGTAGGTGCCTGACCTTGACCTTGTCCTTGCCCCTGAGCACCTTGAGCACCTTGAGAAAGACCTGGTCCAGCTGTTGATACTCCACCGCTAATATTACTACCTGCTGCCTTTTGCTTCAACATCGTCCAATCAAATGTGTAATCATATTGATGATTCAATGTACGGAAAAGTATGCGGAAAAGTTGGCGTAAATACATGTAGTCCGGGCTTTCTTCAAAGCGCAGACCTCGCGTATAATTTAAATACATTGCAAATTCGGCAGGAAATCCCTGAAGAAATAATTTTTATGTCAAGAACATATATATAATAATATAAAAACAATGAGAAAAAGTTTTTTTTCTGGGTACCTTGCATAAAACTTCTACTGGTGTAGACATTTTTTTCTCACTAATTTTTTCATATTTCTGCTTCTTCGTCGCAGCTTTAAGACCTTGCCACGGTAACGATCCCCGATTGAAGTACATAAGAACATAGCCGAGTGATTCCATGTCGTCGCGACGACTTTGTTCAATTCCAAGATGCGCATTGATAGAAGCATACCTCGCAGTACCCGTTAAATTTTTATCTTCACGATATATTATATGCAGTCTTGTACGACTATCCCTATACTTTTTAGCCAAACCAAAATCGATGAGAAATAACTGAAACATAATTTAGCATTCCGTAATATAATATTGATGCATGGTATTTTATTTCTGATATATCGAAGAAATTACAAAATATTAAAATGTATACCTTGTTACAATGTCGCCCAATTCCCATTAAAAAATTATCTGGTTTTATATCTCTGTGGATAAAGTGTTTGCAATGAACATACTCAATCCTACCAATCATCTGATCTGCCAACATTAAAACTGTCTTGATTGTAAACCTTCTTGAACAGAAAGTGAAAAGGTCTTCCAGAGATGGTCCAAGAAGATCCATAACAAGAACATTATACTCACGTTCTTGACCGTACCTAAAGATAGAAAAATTCTTATCAATTGACTGTCTGGTTCTAAAAATACTAACTTTTAATCAATATAATTTCATTATATAATTTCAGCTTATATAAATCCTGTTGTGTATATATAATAATTTATTAAAAAATTATTTTATTATTACATGATAGATATAACAATTAAAATATAATACATATAAGCACAAAATTAAATATAATAATCACCAACGTATGTGTGGTATTCCTATACCACCGTGTAATATTTTGTATAACTTTGATTCATATAAAAGTTGTGGATGTCGAGCTCGCATGTTCTCCAACTTAACAGCAACTTCCTGAAATAAAAACATATATTATATGTTATCAAACTGCGTTCTAAAGTTTTATCTGACACAAAGATCAAATGAAGGCAAATAAATGGAATAACATAATAATTTTTTCAATTTAATAATAATAATTGTATTTCAAAATTCACTGCTAGTGCTAATAAATTATAGTGTACGTAATATAAACTATAAATTTCAGCACTGCTAGTGAATTTTGAAATACTATATTATGGTTTTTTCTTCCCATCATTTTCTAACTTTTCTTTGTTTATTAAGCACTGCCTGTATTTGTGTTATAGGAATAACAATAGAATTCCAGAAAGTTAAAAATATTATCAAAATAAAAGATAATAAATAAGTTCCTTTTAATATAACTGTAACAGCTAATGTATCAAAAGCTAATGTATAAATTTTTCTTTAACTCAGTTCTTATCTAAATCAAACTTAAATTTTATTTCTTATTCATTGTTATTCACACACACCGTCATTGTATCATAGCAAGATGTATTATTGTCATATATTACTTATATTATGAGATATACCATCATGTTTAGATAAGTAATATACTAAATATGTACACACAAGTGTACTAACAGTATCATCAAAAAGGAAACAATTTACAAAATAAAAGGAACAAGGAACCAATTGCCCTGTCATTGTTTACTTCATTCTTAATGATTTTCTGTAAAATTGTAATGTCTGTTAGAAATCCGAAATTAATTGACCAAACTGCAATCATCCGTTCAACTTATCGTTAATCCCAACGATGGTCGCAAGAAATTGTATCGTTCTCGCAAATAATCGCTAAATATGTGCGCACTTAGGATTCTGATAATGTGACAAACGTCAGCTTATATTCAACTGTGTCAAAGACGTACATACGTATAACATACGTCATTCGCGATGTATTCGTGACGAAGTTTTCCGCGGAATGATCATCGACGACGGGCATGAACTCGCGATGGAAATGGTCCTCGAACCCGTATGGGCAACGATCACCACGACGGATCTTGACGGCCAGAAAGACGATTCTTTTGCCTTGACATAGATATCGCAATCAACATGTCGCATCTCGTCTCGTGTTATCCGACCTGGACCACATCGGATGGACACGAACGATGGGAAGACGCGATCGGATTTCGCGGGACGAAAAGAGTCAGGGACGCAGAGAAACAGGAAATGCGAACAGAGAGAAAATGAAGCTGGCTGCAAACAGCAGTCCAGCAGTAGGTCGTGCAGGTCGGCCCCAAGAGGGACGCCTGAGGTTGGCTTACCTCGCCATTGGAGATGTTAATGCCGAGGTAAATGTCGCCGAAGGAGCCCGAACCGATCTTCCTCATCAACCTATACTTGCCACCCACGATGAATTCACTCTTCGCTATTGATATCGCCAACGACGCCATGTCACTGCTCACCTCCGTATGCCTTTTCTCTCACCTCCACACTCCGCTCTTCCCTTGCGCTACCTTATACGAGGACCTCTACACGGTAGGGTGATTTCGCACCTGCCCTCCGTCCTTCTCTCTCACCCGATGTCTTTCGCTCGATCCCTAACCGTCCTACCAATATCTCTCACCCTTTCTCCGTTTCTCTTCCTTGCTGGCAATGCTGACTCCCTTTACTCTCTCTTTCTCTTTCTCTCACGCACGAAGGTCGAGCGGAATCGAGGGTACGTAAATTGACCGTGCCGTATAGAGGTTTACGGGCCGAATTTCGGTCAGTCAGGGTCACCGAAGTCGCAATAAAATCGTTCTAACGTGTCACGGACGGACTGTTCACTGGCGGCACGGCAAATCCCATCGACAGCGCGCCGACATTTTCCCTCTCGCTGTGAACACACACACGAAGAGCAACGACTGACGGTTCCCGGAAGTGTGCGTCACGCACCAACGACGACGCGGGAGACGACGGGGGGTAGACCCCGGCACTGCCGCTCAATGGAGTCACTTCACGTGCGTGACGCCCGTACATAGGACGATTCCGCGAGCAAAATCACCGATAATTGGTATGATTTTTTCGTGCGCGATTGCGTTGTGTTCGAGCGTCCGCATCCCACGTTCCTTAGAGCCAAGTCGTCTGAAATCGCTCGCTTGACACCACGGTACTTTAGGCTCAGGTCCGTATCGAGAAATCGCGCGATGCGGGCGACGAATAACTGGAGCACCGATCATAGGCGTCTTTTCGTTCAGATACCACAGTACCGTTTGGTTAGGAGTGTTTCGGACGTCACAAACAGATACCATTATCGAAAATGACATTTCACTGCCACTATGGAAACACGAATAGTTCTTAGTATAATTCTGGCGGTAAATATGGATCAGAAAACAAAGTTAGCCTTAATGATATAATTATTTGAAGGGGACACCTTTGATGATGACTTACTTACCATAGCATGTAGTAAGTCGGGAGCAGCGTGTAATGTTGCTATTTCAAAAGAGGATATATCCTCTGTATACAGCATTTTAGGTTAGGACATTTATGCGGCGAAGAATGGGTCCAGTATTATTTGGATTTTGATTTTCTCTAGCTATTTCGGTAAGAATCACAGAAAATTCTATGTGATACTTCCGACATTTGGATATTACCAGAATCATCCTGGCTGCGTTCCGTTATTCACTGCAAGTACTGAAAAGCTGTAGTATACGTAACGCGAACTATAAATTTTCAGTACTTCCAGCGAATTACGGAACATAGCTCCTGACACAGCATATGCTGGGGGCTTATTACGGTTCTTGTGACAAAAGTGAAGATTAAAAAAATGAGCAAATTCACTAGGTGTTAACCAATGAGTTATAAATATTCTAGTAAATTCAATCACTTTTGTAATTTTCACTCCGTCATAAGAACCGTAATAAACTCCCTGATCAAGGTTTGAGATTATGTTGTCCATCACTACTTGCAGCGGTGGATTCTTTCCCGCTCAAACAG